GGACAGTGGCAAGGGGACATTGACTAAAGACGTGTATACTGCAGGCCAGGGAGACAAAGGATGGAGCACGTTTCTCTAGCTTCTCCCTTTACCAACATGGGATTCTATTCCGGAGCTTCTTGAATATCACCTACAGTTCAACTAATCCTGATCGTCACAGACCATGTCAATATTTTCTATTTACTTTCTTTTTTTTTTTTTTTTTTGTGGGAAGACAGGGTCTCACTTCATAGCCCTGGCCTAGAACTCACTATGTAGACCAGGCTAGCCTCAAACTCCCTGCCACTGTCTCTTGAGTGCTGGATTAAAAGTGTGTACCACTGGCCTGGACACCTCAGCATTTTCTAAATCAAGAGACGTAGTATAACTTCCAGGAAGAATCTTCAGTTTCCTGTTGTAGTTTTATGTACCAATAGGCAAATATCTGAATGCTGAATGTAGCCTTGCCAATCCACAGAAAGTAAGAGTCTGCTTGAACTTTAAGGGTTTTCAGCCCAACTGTCCTACATGCCCACTTTTAGACAACCACACAGTTTCTTCCTTCCCTCCACCAGACCCAGTAACTGTTTCTCATCCAGCCTTGAGTCCATAAGGTCACCACCATACTGGCTGGATATAGACATGGCCAACTGTGTTAGTTACGCTTGTGTATCTATGGCCAAAATATGTAACAGAAACTATTTAAATGGAAGATTTAATTTGTCTCACAGTGTCAGAAGGTTTACTCCATGGGTGTTTGACCTCATGAGCTTGGCCTGGACATCATGGTGGTGGGAGAGTGTGTAGTTTCACTTCATGGTGGGACAGGAAGAGAAGGAGACTGCAAGGAGATAGGGACAAGCTACTCACAACAACCTAGTTCCTTCACCAAGACCTTACCCCCTAAAGTTCCCAGAACTTCTCAAAATATACCATCAGCTAAGACCAGGCATTTAATACATAAGGCTGTGGGGAACATTTTTTTTTAATTTATTTTAATTTATTTTGCAATACAATTCAGTTCTACATATCGGTCACGGATTCCCTTGTTCTCCCCCCTCCCGTCCCCCTCACCTTCCCCCCAACGCCCCCCCCCCCCATTCCCATCTCCTCCAGGGCAAAGCCTTCCCCACAGACTGAGGTCAACATTTTAAATTCAAACCATAACATTCTTCCCCTAACCCCAAAAGCTCACAGCCATCTCTTATATCCATTTAGTCCATATCAAAGAGTTCACAAAATCTTAATAGTTCCAACATTTTTCAAAAGTTCAACTTCAGAAACTCTAGTGATACTCAAGATAATCTCAGCTATGAACTCCTATCAATAAAAAAGAAAATTATTATATATACTCGCTAGATTATATATATTATATACACTCGCTCAGTATATTATATATACTCCTCCTTAAACTAGTCTGGAAGGCTTGGGAACCACATGACCTGGTAGTTATAGACATGGCCCTACTTCTCCAGCACTACTTTTCTATTAGAGTAGCTGTAATGACAATAATAACTACAAAACATGACGGATAACTTAAAAGCCAAGATTTATTTCAGCTCAGGGTTTCTGAGGGTTCAGTCCATGGGCTGCTTGGTCTCAATGAGTTTGGGCAGAAAATGACAACGGCACCATGTCCCAGACGATCTTCTTTACCTCATGGTAGACAGGAAAGAGACAGGGAGAAGACACCTGAGTGGACTTACGCCCAGTAGCCTACTTTCTTTTCAGATAGATCAAACTACCACCAACAGCTATGGCCCAAGAGTTCAATACGAGTGCTCGTGGGAAACATGTCATACTCAAACTAAAACACTCTTTTTCTGAGTAGAGAGAGAGGCTCACACAAAAGACTCAACTGGAGAGCTATGCAGAGCCAGTAACAAGTTCAGAACTGTCCTAGGACATAGCAACTAATGACCTGCGGAGCAGGTTAGTACTAAAGGGGCACAGAACTACAACTGCCTACACTCAGCTTTGTTCAGCCTTTAGAGATAAACTACCTCAGGTGAATTACAACAGCAGTAAAACTACTGAGAATTCTGAGAGGAATATAAAAAGATCTAGACAAAAATGAAAGCAGCGTTGCTTCAGTCCACAGGAGTACCATACAATGCAGTCACGTCCACTGTTACTGGATGCTTATGAGTCAGGGAGAACATGCTGGATAGGGCAGACAGATCAAAACAGAGCTTATTTGGGAATCTTGGAAATGAAGCTGCAGGCATTTGAGCTGAACAGGCAGGTTTCTAGCAATGAGAAGGTCCCAGCAGCCCCAGAGTGCGGCATGTACCAGAGTGAGCATCAGTGCTGCAGGAACTCAGCTGGTCAGGATGAAGGAAAAAGCAAGCAGGCAGGTTCCTGGATGAGGCGGAGAGACCATCCAGTAATACTACCACATGGAGAACAAGAAGGCAGTGAACTTGGGTAAAGACAAGAGGCTGATTTATAACAGTCCAGGTGGTGGTGCTGGTACGGTGGGTGAATAACCAAATGTCCCCAGCTTTCCACATTAAACCCTTTCATTTTGTCCTGTTTTTGCACTGCTTTTAAGCTCTAATGTGTTAAATGACATGTCATGATGTCTGAACTATTTTATTCTGGCTACAATAAGCTAATATTTTCACTGAACATAAATAATGTTTATATCCAAAACTTTAAGATAAACTTATTTAAAAAAATAGCCACAAGTTACACTTGTGAAAGGACACAAATCTTCATGAGCACTAGGGGTTCCCTTTCATGGCTCATCATTATGACGTTGAAAAAAGATAACTGGGGTCCTGTGTCTCCAATCTCTACAAAGAGTGAGTGCCTTTCACAGTGGTTGGAAGAAAGGTAGACAACTCAACACATCCTGACACCCAGCCCGGCCAAGTAGTCTTCAATCTTTTTTTTTTTTTTTTTTTTTTTTTTGGTTTTTCGAGACAGGGTTTCTCTGTGTAGCTTTGCGCCTGTCCTGGAACTCACTTGGTAGCCCAGGCTGGCCTCGAACTCACAGAGATCCGCCTGGCTCTGCCTCCCGAGTGCTGGGATTAAAGGCGTGCGCCACCACCGCCCGGCCGTAGTCTTCAATCTTGAAGGGAAATTAAAGGAAAGACTTATGGACTTGGGGATTCTCTACCAGAGTGCAATGCTCTGGATTTTCAGAGTGAAAAACTGTCAGCATACAGGAGACCCAACCCAACGGTAATGTGCAGTTCAATATTCATGGGGCTGACATGTATACATCAAAGTTTAAAAAAAAAAACAAAAACAAAAAACCCCTTAAAGCCCTGGACAGTGTACCTGATGCATGATAGGGTCAAGACCAGCACTGACATGGAAACCTGCCCTTCACCAGGAAAGTGGTTCCAGTATCCACATAAGACACAACTGTTTATCACTGCACCTGGGCTGTTAGAATACCACCACAGTGAACTTCTATGAAGAGGAAGAAACACAGTCCTGGGTTTCCCTAGTGACCAAGAAGTATCGATATTCTGCTTTGACAAATATATACAACATACCAAGAGACTCCTGCTCTAGAGCAGCTGGAAAGAAGAAGCTTCCTCCAACTCTGGTGGGGCCTCCATGCAGCTGCAGACAACAGAGTCCTTCTTCCCTCTCAGCATGCATCTCTCCACCACTTTCTGCATCCTGAAGGCTACACAGTGGTTCTAGCAATGACTTACAAGGCTCCCTTCCTCACATGTAAAACTTACAAGGCATCTATCTCCTGGCTTCTTCTTCTTTTTTTTTTTTTAGGTTTTTTGAGACACGGTTTCTCTGTGTAGCTTTGTGCCTTTCCTGGATCTTGCTCTGTAGACCAGGCTGGCCTCGAACTCACAACTCCTGGCTTCTTAATCAGCAAGACTGACATAAAAGTGGGTACAGTGCTCCGGACTGCACAGTGCACGCTCTAACAGCCCTGGTTGCCACCTCTCCCTGCTGCTGCTTCCTGTGCTCCCCACTTGATAACCCGCCAGCGCAGGCAGGGCTTTGTACTCTGAGCAAGTGTACAGCCAGAGAACCACACTCTCTTAACCTCCCTCTCTATCCTTGCTCTTACTGTTTTCTTGACCCGCCCCCCACCACTCTTGATGGTCTGTTCCCTGCTCATCAATAACATTGGGGGTTCTATGTCTACCTTTCTATTATTTTCAGAACCAGAATTCAGCAGCTTCCCTAAACATATTGATTATATACTTATATGATCCAATTTTGCAGGGTATTTGAAAGATCTAATTTGTTAACACTGACTCCAGAGTTGGTTTGATTATTTTACATAATTGTTTAAAGTACTCCAAGAGGACAGACTACATAAAACTGTATAAACATACTCAGAATGACTGCATAAAAAGTGGGAATTGTAATAATGGATTTTACAAAATCCCAATGGAGTAAAGTTAGAAGTGACTAAGTTAACACACCTAAGGTTTTTTTTTTTAATCATTTCTATAGGTTTCTCAATTATTTATACTCCAAATCTTTTTAAAGAACAGATGTCTCTAAATTCTACAGAACGACTGGAAATGTGATATACAGATCCAGTGACTCACTGCAACATGAAGAACAACTGGACAATGAAGTACAGCCACAGGAATAAGTTTATTTGGGGAACTAACTTGTGATAAAGCCAGCTGAATTTTCTCATGTTATTCTGAGTAAACACTGTTGAATGTAATGGTATAAAGCTAAAAGACCAGAATCTTTAAGAATCTTCCCCTAATACCCTAAGTCAATCCAGCCTGAAACAGTATGAACTACAGAGGTCTATTTGTAGCTAACAAGGATGGAAAGGACTAACTCTTAGGTATTGACATGTTAGGGTCAAAGGTGAGCCCTGAAAGGCCTGAATTATGCCCAGAGGGTTGTATGTACTTCAGCTAAGGTTAATGTCTGAATCTAGGATACAGTCCTGCATCCTTGCTCCAGAGAAGCAACCTTCAAGCCTGCAGAGTCCAGGTAAAACTGGCCACACAGGCGTGCCTGGTGAAGGACACCCTCCCCGAACAAGATGCTCTATGGAAGCGACTGACCTCATCAGGGCTGGATGCCTGGTAGGTGCGGTTCTCATCACTGAAGTCTTGGTCTGCTTCAGCAAACTCCGTCTCCCCAGTGACTCCAGTGCGAGCTTCGTACACAGGAGTGACGTTGTGACAAAGGGCGATGGCTTTCACTGCTTCGTGGATTCTGCTGCTGACGCTTTTTTTAACTTTAGGGGTTGAAGACTGGCTTCTTCTCAGTGGAGCAGAGCTTGGGTTGTGCCCACTTGCTTGGGAGTGTACCTTTAAAACAGGATGCTATGTAATGAGGGCAGAGAGAATGAAGTGGTCCACATGTGGACCAGAAATTACTAGACTGTCTTAGGTAAAATTAGCTGCTTGAGATAAGAACAGTGATTTGATTCTTTCTCTTACACTGTACCTATGAATATAAATCACTTTTTGTCTCAGCAGTGCAAAACGCTTGGCTATTTCAAGGTTGTCAAACACACCACAGTATTTGTGATGATTCTTGAAGCCCGGGACTTTCCCATTCCTAAGTTCAATCAACTGTTACTTTCCTCCTTAAAACAGCAAGATAAAGATCAAAGCAGAATGGTGTGCTCACACATGCGCATAAAACAATAGCAAACCAAAGCAGCCAGAACTCTAAAACTTCCTTGAATGTTCTAAGTAAACTGGCTGTGCACCCGTCTCTGAACTTTAGTGGTCTAGTCTGTAGCTAACGAGGATTAGATACAGTAATGGGTGTGTCAAGGAAACCAAGCCTGTCAGATCTCCTGTTGTTCATGGGAAGCAACTGCCCACTGAGAAGTGGATCTGCCTCACTCCCATTAGGTCTGTCTGAGTCAGTGAGCTGTCACCACCCGGTGATGGACTTTTGTTACTCACCTCCTACCAGGGTGGGTGACAGAGGACACTTGCCATCCCAGAGGACAGACACACACTCTCCTGTCAACTTCAGACTCAGGACAGTACTCAGAAGGGACTAGGGATCAGAGCAACTGAGAGGCACTGATATGAGCCTCTTCCCACCAGGCATAAGCTACACAAGGGGTATGTATCCGTTCATTCTGCCCAGGTATCTGCTCAGTGCTCAGTTGTGCTGCCCGCGGCTGCCCCCATCTGCACCACCCTACACTGAGCAACTCCAGCAAGAGGAGTTCAGTCCCTCTTCTGAATTATGCAATGCTCACTGATGCTTGTGCAATTTAATTTCACACAGATTCCACTGAAGAGTAAGCTCTCAGGCACCCAGTGCTTCCAGTGGGCAAAGATAGTCAAGTTGAAGAAGATCTATGTTATGCTGGAGTGGGCTAGAGACAACAGAACGTCAACAGGAACTAACAAGTTCCAGAGTCTTACTGGCAAAGCCATGGCCTTTAGTGAAAGATCTTCAAATGCTCCTACATACAATAAGTAAACATTAAGTATCTGTTATATAATGACTCTTCATTCTTCTGCTTTTAATGTGTTTCTGGTAAAATAATTATAATAATAATCATATATAATCCATAATACTCACATTAATGGGTAACGTAAGTTAACTTTATTTTGTTTTAGGGTCTCCCTATGTATCCTAGGCTGGACTGGAACTTTCAACCCTCTTGCTTCAGTCTCTTGAGTGCTGGGATTACAGGTGCGTACCACAAAACCCAGATAAATGAACATTTTAACAAGCAGTGGTTACTTGATACCATCTCACTCAGAACAAAGATTCCTAGGAAAAAGGAAGCTTGAGCTCTTCTTTCCTTTAGGTTGTATAAAGCTCAGCAGTATGAGTTTTTGCCGAACACACACACACATGTGCACGTGTGCACATGCAGACACACACACACACACACACACACACACACACACACACACACACACACACACACGGATACAGGGTAGCCCAAATGGCTCCTTAAGAATACAGCTATTGCTGTTGCCCCTGGATGCCTCTCAGAAGTTGAAGGTAGATCCCTATTGCTGAGGACACTGCATACTTAGGACAAGACTTGTATTTTCTGAGCTGGATTTCATCTGAAAACTTCCTTCCTACAGTGTAGCTTCCACAGTACCAGAAAGTACTTTGTGAGCTGCCAAGGAGGAGAACAATTAACAGTCCTACCCCGCTGTGACACCTATGGATCACAAGAATGACAGTAAAGGCCCAACAGATATGGCCTTCCCATGCTGGGGATAACTAACCACTGTGCAATTGGACTCAAGGCTCACTCCACAGCGAGGAAACCATGCTGACCACTAGAAACCCAGCCAGCTACCTGGGGCTAGTGAGGTCCCGGCTTCTCTAGAAGAGAATCTGCAGCCACCAGTTTGCTAGACCAGGGTAACTCCTAAACTACATTCCAACCTTAGCCTTACACTCACAAACCAGTGGAGCTACCCTCGTCAGAGGAGCTTCTCTCTAGAGCAAGGAGAGACGCTACAGAAAACCACAGCTGGACATGATGGAGTGACTGATGGACTGTGGGGAACCCAACCCCAGTGGACACATCGTCAGCACAGCTCCTACATCTAAGGCTCAAGGAACATCACATAAAGGGAGCTGAAAGAATGCATGAGGCGGAAAACCGGAGGTCCGCTGTGAGACTGTCTCTCTTAGAAATGCTACATAAACAAGACCTAAACAATGATAATATCAACAGACATGCCAACGAAGAAAGGAAAAAACTCTCACCAGGCTCCCACACCTAGACAAAGAACTACTTGCAACTAGTAAGTGTGTTTATCCAATACAAAGGTTAGCCTTAAAACTATATACACAGAAACAACAAAAATGAACCCAGCATAATTTATTTACACATTTGTGCATATATTTATGCACATACACACACAAACACATACTCGCAGCCCCATATATATGTAAAAATAATAAGAAAGGTTAAGAGTGTATGTAGGGGAACCTTGGAAAGTGACAAGTAACATAATTATATTTTAATTAAAATGTATTTTTAAAAATTTAAAACAATAAAATAAAATCTTTCACAAAATATTAAAATAAAATATTCTGGAATACAAAATACTTTGCATACATAGTATATATATATGCATATATAAATCAGAATTAAATGACATAATATATTCAAATGGATTTAACAGATACCTATAGAACATTCCACCCAAACACCAAAGAATATACACTCTATCAGCAGCATACAGAGGCTTCTCTAAAATAGACCCTGTCTTGGGACATAAAACAAATCTTTACAAATTCAAAAAGGTAGAAATACTGCCACATATCCTCTTTGACCACAGTGCAAAAACTTGCAGAAAACACATCTCTAGTAAATACACAAACTCACAGAAATAAAAAAAAAACTTATTACTGAATGATTAATGTAGCAAAGAAAAAGATCAAGAAAAAATTTCAAAAAATGTACTGGACCTAAATTAAGATGAAAACCCAAGCCCCTTAGGACACACTGAAGGCAGCCGTGTGAGGGAGATGTCCAGCTCTAAGTGCCTGCATTAAACAAATCAGAAAGAGTGCAAATAAAGGACTTGATGATGCAACTCAAAACTCTGGACAAACAGGAAGAAACCAAATCCAAACAGAGTGGAAGGCAAGAAGCAACAAAACTCTGCAGAAATCAATGAAAGAGGAACAAAGAAAACAATACAAAGACTCAACAAATCTAAGAGCTGGTTCCCTGAGCTGATCAGCAAGACTGACAGACCTCTGGCCTAACTAACCAAAGAGAGAAACAGAGGACCTACATTAACAGAAGCAGAAATGAAGAGAGAAACACTACAGTGGACACCAGTGAAATTCAGAAAATTATAAGGGAATATTTTAAAAACCTGTACTCCATTAAGTTGAAAAATCTAAAATCTAAACTTTCTAGATTCAGCCAAACCACCAAAATTAAATCAAAAGAAACCAACAACCTAAACAGAATCATAACTAATGAGATTGAAAGAGTTATAAATACCCTTCCAACTAAAATAAGTCCTATCAGACTCTCACAGATCTACAGCCAGCACTTTTTAAACTTCTGAAAGAGAGAGAGAGAGAGAGAGAGAGAGAGAGAGAGAGAGAGAGAGGAGGGAGGGAGGGAGGGAGGGAGGGAGGGAGGGAGGGAGGGAGGGAGGGAGGAAGGAAGGAAGGAAGAAAGAAAGAAAGAAAGAAAAAAGCAGAAGACACACTCCCCAACTCCTCCTACAAGCCAGTTTCACTCTAATATCCAAGCCAGTCATAAGGGATCACACTATTAAATATCTACTTGAAAATACCTAAACTACATACAAGTTAGGGTATACATATTGTTTAAATGAAATTTTTATCTTGGCTGACAGTGCTCCCTCCAAGAATCAAAGGGCATCTAACAAAACACCAAACACCCAGCATGAGAAGTCCTCTTTTGAGTTGTTGGTCAGGGTTGTCCAAAAGACTTCCAAATTTCACCAATTATCACTATTGCACTTGGTCACCACTGGTGTAGAAGGTAAGTCCCTATTTCTGAAGATACTATGCATTTCAGACACAGGGCCCACAAGCTCCTGGGCTGGAACTGATTCGGAAGCCCCCTCTTGGAGGGCTAGCTTCCATGGTATGAGAAGACATCAATGGAGGGAAATAACCAACAGTCTTATCCAGTGTTGATGCCAATGAACCACAATAATGACCAGCATAGCAAGATAACTCTAAGGGTACAGTTAGGGGTATGCATACCTTGATGTAACCAACAACTCTATATTTGAACTTAAGACCCTCTTCAAGAGGGAAGTCATGCCTGGTACTGAAAACTTAGCTAACTACCCCAGGCTAGTGAATTCATGGATCTTGGAGAACTTATAATCACCTGACTTAGTTACAGTTTCTGTTGCTTCCACAAAACACAATGACCAATAAGCAAGTTGGAGAGGAAAGGGTGTATTCAGCTTATACTTCCATAGCACTGTTCATCATCAAAGGAAATCAGGACAGGAACTCAAACAGGGCAGGTTTCTGGAGGCAGGAGTTGATGCAGTGCCATGGAGGGGTGCTGCTTCCTGGCTTACTCAGTATGCATTCTCATAGAACCTAGGACCACCAGCCCAGGGATGGTCCCACCCACAATGGGCTGGGCCCTCCCCCATCAATCACTAATAAAGAAAATACCTTACGTTCCCTCCTATGAGATAATGCTAGTTTGTGTGTCAAGTTGACATAAGACTAGCCAGCACATCACTTTACTAAACCAGCATAATTCCTAACTGCATTCTAAATACTTGTCTTTGGACCCACATATAAGTGTAGTCCTTACCTCTCATGAAGGAAACTTCTCTTTTCAATGGAGGGAGACCATTACAGAAAACCACAACCAACATAATGCAGAGTTGTGGAGCCCGGTCAAAGGGAAACATCAAAAAACAACTTAAACATGTAAGGCTCAGGGAACACTGTAGAAGAGGGGGTGGAAAGACTGTAAGAGCCAGAGGATTAGACAATTTGCTGTGAGACTGTATCACCTAGAAATGTCAGAAGCTACACCCAAAAGGCTCACCAAACATGACTGCTTCCGTATCAGCTGAAGAAGGATAATAGTAATAGACAGGCCAAAGTAGATGGGGAAAGATCAGGAGGCCTCAGCCTACACAAAGAACTGCAGGTAACTAAGGAATGTGGAGAGGAGAAACAGTCTTCCCTAGGGAAGAGGACACCAAGAGGTTATCTAAATATATATATATATATATATATATATATGTATATATATATATATATATATATGCAAATAACATCATATAGACTGAGCAGGCTATATTTGTGTATTTAGTAGTACACATACATACACACACACACAGACACACACACAGACACATATATACAAATATGTATGTGACAACAATTAAGAAAAAGGCCATGAATTTGAGAGCAAGGAGGGGTATACAGAAGGGTTTGGACGGAGAAAAGGAAAATAAATGATGCAATTAAAACAAGGAACTAATTTTAAAAATTGTATTTTAGAGCCTTTAAAACTAAACTTTTCATAAAAACTTTAAAAATAATAAAATATTCTGAATCACAAAACACTTTTAAACATAGTACACATATAAATTGTATCTAAACAAATTACATCCACATGTGTGAGATGCTCATTGGCTTCTGTGCAGATATAGCATATAAAATAAATGCATATTGTACAAGTAAGATTCTTTTGCTATTTGGCAACATTTCAAGAACATGGTATATGTCAGGCTGGTGGTAATTACAGAACAAGGTTTTCTAAAATTTGAATGCACTGTTGACAACTGAAGTCTATGGAAAGAAAGTCCAATTTAGTCTGCAAAATCACGTTTGAAGCAAATTACTGTACATAAAACACTCAGCTAGTTTTTTAGCTGATGTCACAGGTGTGGTGCTCCAAGATCTAACACAGCCATCCACTGAGGCACACACATGTCTGAGTCTGAGTGTGAAATACGAACATTATTATGGTCTAAGTAAACCAACCAAGAGGCAGAGCTGCAGCCTGAGAAGTGAGACTCCTAGCATCGAGTGTCATCATGAACCTGATATTTTACATTTCCAGGAACTGCCGAGCTTAATAGTCCTGAATTGGTAACTTCAATTTAGGACAGATTTTTTTGTTTTGTTTTGTTTTGATTTTTAAAAAATTTTCTTTTGAGAGGTGCTGCAGGGGTGATGGGAGGATCTGGAAGGATGGGAAGTGGGTGGAATTAGGGTACATGATATAAAATTCCCAAAGATTCAATAAAGAAATTACATTAGATTAAAAAAAAAGTAAAAATCATTGACACATAAACACTCCTTGAACCCAGGGTCATAAGCCCTCTATTTGATCTTAACATTCTCTATACACAAAAGGTTTCTGATATTTCTAAAGTCAGGAACATGGATAATTAGAAGGGTCTGGGAGGACTCTACATGGCACACTTGTCTGAAAGCCTCTGCAGATGACATGGCTTCTAAACTCATGAGAAATCAGACAACTCCCATTCTTGTACCTCAGCTCTTAGGAAGTAGTAATAGCTTTTTTTTAAATGTCATATGATAATTACTTGGACAAAATAACAGGACTTTTGAAATTCATTTCAAAATGTTCTGTTGAGATAGAATTCCTGCTGACACAGCAAATCCTCATGCTGCTAGAGTTCACTGAAAGGCATATGTTGAGTTATCTACCTTAGTTATTGGAAAAGATGAAAAACAGATTTTTTAAAACCTGAGAAAGTTTTATTAATTATGAAGAAAAATGAAGGGATTATTAGGAAACATAATAATACCAGTATTCTATTAATTACCCTTTAAAATACTGTTTTACTAAAGCGTTTATTTTTTTTTTTTTGGTTTTTCGAGACAGGGTTTCTCTGTGTAGCTTTGCGCCTTTCCTGGAACTCACTTGGTAGTCCAGGCTGGCCTCGAACTCACAGAGATCCGCCTGGCTCTGCCTCCCGAGTGCTGGGATTAAAGGCGTGCGCCACCACCGCCCGGCTAAAGCGTTTATTTTTAGAAATAATTTACTAGCTAGGTGGAGGTGGCACATGCCTTAATTCCAGGCAGGCAGATCTCTGAGTTCAAAGCCAGTCTGGTCTACATAGTAAGATCCAGGACAGCCAAGGCTGTTATACAGAGAAACCCTATTTTGAAAAGAAAAGAAAAATTCAGTAAAAAAATAATATAAGTAAATGATTTGAGCTCATTGTATTTGCCATGATTTTGCTGATGTAGAAATGCTAGTCATAATTTTTTTATCGAGACACTAGACTTGATAGCAAGGTAACAATAAAGAGTTAAAAAAAAAACAGCCGGGCAGTGGTGGCGCACGTCTTTAATCCCAGCACTCGGGAGGCAGAGCCAGGCAGATCTCTGTGAGTTCGAGGCCAGCCTGGTCTACAAAGCGAGTTCCAGGAAAGGCGCAAAGCTACACAGAGAAACCCTGTCTCGAAAAACCAAAAAAAAAAAAAAAAAAAAAAAGAGTTAAAAAACAAATTAGCATATAATAGGCTCAATTTAGCTCACCAGCGTGGGTGCATTGAGAGAAGATGGCATCCAGAAGTACATTCACATACCTGCAAGTAGGAATTGAAGACGTGGCTTTGGATTTCATCCATAGTGTCTGTTCCGTAGGAGACAGTGCCCAGATGGAGCCGCTTGAATACCATCTCATTCTGAGTGAGAGTCCCTGTGATGGGGAGAGCAGCAGCAGTGAACACAGGCAGGGCAGGGAAGGCCCTGCTGCTCCCTAAGGAGCTCTGGATGGGATGGCTGCTGGTCACATCTTTGACTGTGCCCTGGGACACCTGTTAGAGATGCAAAGTGCCTGCAGAATGCTCATTCTGACAAGGAGCCTTAGATTTTCCTAAGCATATCACATTAACAACCTTTAATAATGGAAGGGATTCTTGAAAAAAAGAAAAGCCGAGTCTCTGTTTTTGATTCAGATCTGTTAACTGGCATAATAGCAACTTCTGCTGTTCTGAATAAGGCATAAACTAGGAAGCTAAGTCACCACTGACTCAGTCACAGTACTGAGCTGGAGAACAACACTACCTAGCCCCACATTAGCATGGCTTAGCCTTAAGACTTAGCCTTAAGAAGACTGACTTTTTAAAAGCAATCATTATTGGTAGAAAGATAAATGCTCCAGATGTTTAACCCTTAGCAGACATTTATATCACTTGCTATGAGGAGAAAGGTTTATGAAATGGGAGACAATTTCCTTAAGGTGAGTTTCTAAGAAAGCCATTAGGACATACTATTTAACACTCTCTCCTCAAAGCAGAGTCGAGGCATTAAAATGACTATGCCCAGGACTGCAAATAAAGTTGAGCCATGTCTATCTCATTTAATGCAAACACACATGCAGTGTATGCATATGATTAATTCACCTTGTTTCCCAGAAGTAAAACAACAAAGGGATGCTTAAATGCCCTTTTAACAGGGAAGTGGGGGCTGCCATGCAAGGCACTTGACTCTAGTTTCCACTGGGGCTTCTGCACTGACCTCAAAGCACATACAGCAGGGTTACCGAGACAGTCAAGAAGTGAGAGGTGAGACAGGCAATGTGATGGCCATTTCTAACCAAAGTTGGGCTTTTCACATGGTTACAAAACATCTGCCTTTTACTTTCTTTGGCATATATGATATTGACAAGACCTATCAATGACTAGTCAGAATTTACATTCAAAGCAAAATGGGTTATTGACTTGGAACTTTCTGGAAGAATACAAGATCTTCTTTACAAAAGAGCAAATTTGTATGTTTTGTTTTTTAGATACTATTTTGACAAGCCCTCTTATAAACAGACATATTTTATTATAGCATTACAAATTCCTCCAGAGCAACATTGGCTGTAGCCTTGTGCACTGACTGTGTGCACTATACATCTTGAGAGAACTGGAAATGAAACCACTTACATGAGACATAGTTTATGGCAGTCTCAAAGTGGAATTAGCTTCAAATACATGTTCCATTAAGTATCACAGCAGCAGCCCAGCCTCCAGGTGAAAAGGAGGAGCTCTGTACATGGCATATGATAAAGATCAAAGGTAATGAAATAAAACACTAACTGGTAAGTAAAAAGTTCACAAAGTATGTGTTCCCAAAGTTCGCAATAGTCTAGATGAATTATATACAAAAACCTTGTTTCAGATGACTTGATATAAATGGCAAATTTTTTTTATAGATTTTTCTCCTTGATGATAACTTAGAATAAGCCAAGAAGGTCAACTTTTTATTATGAACAACTTTATATTTAAAGTTAAAAGAATACTACAACAAACACTGTTATAGGTTAGACCAATAATGACAAGTTCTTTGTTTAAAAATTTATACTAACTTTATTAGTTGGGAACTTTACACGTTTTGATCATATTCCTCCTCCTCCTCCAACTCTTTACAGTGCCATCCCCACATGCCTTCTCCCCCAGCTCTGTGTTACCTTTCCTGCCCCTCTCACTCCACATCCCTTCACTCCTATCCCTGAAGGCATCAAGGCCAATTTGTGCTAGCCAAATATTTAGATGTGTGTCCTTCCATGGCAATGTGGTTGACTTCTCATAGAGAAGAATGGCCTTCTTCTCCCAGAAGCCAACAACTGCCAAAAACTCTTGTCAGGGTGGACTGTCATGCCCGACTCCATAGTTCTCTGTTTTCAGGCAGTCTTATGCAAGCACTCTTAAGAAACAACACTGCCCCTCTGCTGTGTTCTTTGCTGCCATGACTCAGAGCCGAAAGCCTTTCCTCCAGAAGGTTAGGGGTTGCAGTCAGCATCTCCTGCACCTGGAGAGTCTCCTGTGTCCAGAGTCCAGCTGTGCTGCTGCACGTGCAGCTTGTCATCCCCAGGGGTAAAGCCTCACCCTGCTTCCCTCAGAGCCCCAAAACTTACTGCAGGTGCACACTGTGTTTCCTTTATAAACTGTTGTACAACCATAATGAACTCTTGCTTTTATATTAGATCTTTGTTAACTGCGTTATAGGGACATCGTGTTCATCTGTAGGAGGCCTGACTGACTAGCAAGACCCTCACCACCACCTCCTTACAATGAAATGCCACCAAAGGTAGCACAGGGATCTCACAGGCATCCAGGTGGCACAGTGGATGTGTAAAGTCCCAGACAGGTAGGAGGTACCACCAACTCAGCCTCTGCCCCTGCTATCACCATACCCTAGTTCTTCCTTCTTGGCTCTCTTTGGGATCCTCTTGAAGGTGTTCTTAAACTCAAGGTCTAATATGCTCTAACACACTTCCCACCTGTGCTGTATTTCTAAAATAAACATCTCTTCACGGCACTCTTGGGATTAAAAGGAACCAGTACCCTTTTAAATATAAACTGCTTAATAAATAAATATAAAATACAGTTTTTCATTATGCAGTCTAGAGCTACTTTCTTTACCTTGTTTGACACTCCTTCCTCAGCAAGGGGCCACAGCCCACAACTCCCACACTTCCACAAACTTCAAACGATGTGGGAACTGCTTCTCTGGCAAACGTTCATTACAAGGCACCAGCAAACACGGAGTTAGTGTACTTAACAACCTGAGTTCAAATGCCCATAACCTGCTTGCTGCCAGATACTTTCAACACTCTTTGTCTTTAGAAGAAGGGGTCAGATAAGCCTGTAAAATAATTCATGAAGTCTCTAAAACATAAAGCATGGCAGTATGGATTCCTTTCCTCAAAATCCTACAGCTAAAGAGACAAGCAGGAAAAAGCCTTATTTCCAGAGGCCCTAAATGCAGATAAGGGAGGCAAGGCAGGAAACACTCAGAGAGGGTGAGTGCTCCAGAGACACCACCAGTGTGACATGGAGAAGAACTCCTCCAGGGGGCAGCATGAAGGAAGCCAGTGTGACATGGAGAACTCCCCAGGGGACAGCATGAAGGAAGCTTTAAAACTGTGGGCACATTGATGCTCCTTGAAAGCAGACCAAAGCGATAGGGCCCAGGAGAGGCCAAGAGAGAAGGGAGAGAGGTGTGCCATGTCAAGAGGACACAATGAGGAGAACCAGTGCCAGTGTGTGTGTATTTGTCTGTGCCACAATGAAACTGCCACATAAGTCAGGCTAGTCTCCAACTGTTGATTTTGCCTCAGCTTTTGGAATAATGGCATTACAAGTGTGTGTCACTGTCCTAGCTAGGTATCCTAACCCCAAATGCTGGGGATCAAATCCCTGGCTTTGAGCATGTTATGAAGCATTGTATCACTTAATTATACTCCCAGCTTAGACTCTGTATTATCTTACTGTCATCCCCAAAGCCCAGGTCTTAACCTGGAATGAAAAGAGCTGCTGATAAAAAGAATGAAGAAAACAGTTTAATTAAAACTGGAAACAAGCATGATATGGTGTTGCTCAAACCTTTAATTCCAGCACCCAAGCTGAAGAGGCAGGTGGAACTCTTTGAGTTCCTGGTCTACAAAGTTCCAAGTCAGCCAGGGATGTACAGTAAGACCCTGTATCTCAGAAAACAAACAACCAACAATAAAACTGAAAACAAACAAACAAAACAAGGCCTAGGGACTAAAGATGCATGGGAGAAGGCATATATGACACTATGTATTTGAATCATACACCATTCACTTGATGGCATATTTTTTTCCAGATTACTGGCCAAGAAAAACCTTGCATTTCAAATGCAACAGGTCCACAGTGGTATCGGATGCTTTCCCAACACAAAGACATATCATTACAATCATTCCATTCAGACTATTTCTAGATAGTAAATTTAGGGTTTGAATGTGGGTCCTATTTTAATACATCACTTTAGTCATCCTTTTTAAGCCTGTGATACAGTATTTCCAGCCTAAGTTTCCCAAGTTCAACAATGCTATCTACTGTCTAGCAATCTGCTTCTTAGCATCTTTAAAGAAATCTCCAGAGTAATTCCAGACATGCACAAAGAAAGTGAAAACAGAAAACACTAAAATATTAAATACATTGTTGCATACTACATAAGGTTGAAATGATGGAAAAGGTAACTGAAGGCCAGGTTACAATATTATCTCCTCCTTCTAGGATATTATAATAAAGCTCTGATTAGATTTCTTTCCTTCTATTATGTAGCCCAGCTAGCCTCACTTGTAATCGTCCTGCCTGTGCCTCCTGAATAGGTATGTGTCACCACACCCATCTCAGGGTTCAGATTACTAAAGACCTTTCATTTAATTGTTTATTTGGAGCCAGGGAGGATGTCATAAAGAAGTCAGAGCAACAACTATGTTCATAGCAGCATTATTTGTAATTTCCAGAACCTGGAAACAACCTAATGCCCTTCAACTGAAGAATGGATAAAGAAAACATGACATATTTACACAATGTAGTACTACACAGCAGTTAGAAACAATATCATAAAATTTGCAGGAAAAAGGATGGAACTAGAAAATATCATCCTGAGTGAGGTAACCCAGACTGAGAAGGACAAACATGGTATGTACTCACTCACAAGTAGATACTAGATGTAAGGCAAAGGATAACCAGACTACATCCCACAGCTCCAGAGAAGCTAGCTAACAAGGAGGACCCTAAGAAGGACACATAGATATCCCAGCAAAGGAGAAATAGATGAGATCTACATGGGCAAACTGGAGATGAGGGGGTGGGGTAATGGAGGGCAAAAAATGGGGGATGAGAACATAAGGAAATGGGAGGTTCAAGCTGGAACAGGGACAGAGTGGGAGAGCAA